TTGCCCAAATAAAACACTTAAGCTGTCAATCTTTGAGCTTATTGTTTAGTTATGAATCAAAAGTAACACATTTGTCTGCGAACCATTGCTCAGCTCATTGATCATTTTATTAGCTCCTCATTTAAATTTATTGCCTTAATTTACCATCAACCAGTTCAGCATGTTGTTGTTTTCTAATTGAAACTCACCAGTAAAAGAGGACTCGGAAACGCTGACAGCATTTGTTTTTGTTAAATAGAAAAAAATATATTGTGAGTGATCAGACGTTTATATGTAAATGCATTTAGTTCCCTATTTTAGGGGTGTTGTTAAAGTAAACTCTATCCTAAAGCAGATCTTTGCTTACTGCACTTTTTTCTGTGTGAGCTGAACGTTTTAATTTAGTATCTGTGTGGCTAAAAAGAGAAAAAACTGTAACCAGTCTCCTGGGGTTCGTCTCATCTTGGCTCCATTCTCACCCAACAGATTTGGGAAATCCCACGGAGATAAACGCCACGAAAATGAGTTTCTGTGCAGCTCAGCCGCTCGAGGTTTAAGGAGTGAATTATAAATGCTTGTTTCAGTGGAGTGTTTCAGAACGGTCGCTGAGAAGCACGCTGGTGAAAAGGAGTGATGCTCCCATTTAGATGAGGGGTATGGGGGCTTTGTTTTATGAATATATATGCCCAGAGCTGCAGCAGTGAAGCGGCAGCCTTCACTGAAGGTCGAGTGCAGTGTATGGAAACGTGTTTGTCATCGTTATTACCCTCTGAGGGTCTCCTTCACATTAGTCATAGCAGCAGCCTTGTTTTAACAGTTTAACCTGCCGTCAGAACACTGTTTTGCTGCTGGTACACCCTTAAAATGACCTTAAACACCATTAACAAAAACCAGCTCAAAAATATCTTAAATCAAAAATATATAGTTGTTTTTTTTAAATCTTTTGACACATAAGATACTCCTTATCATCATTTTTTAAATTTGCTTAATTCAATTAAAGATTGAGAATTCCTTAAGGAAATGCATATTCTCGTTTTAGATGTACATGAAAGGTTTACTTTATGAGATTTCATTAAAAACATTCTAGTGGTTCAAAAGATATTTTGCTAACAGACTTCAACAGTAGGCAGCACGGTGGCGCAACTGGTAGAGCTGCTGCCTCTCAGTGAGCAGGTCCTTGGTTCAAACCCCGGTCCAGGGGCCTTTCTGGGTGGAGTTTGCATGTTCTCTCCGTGCATGCGTGGGTTTTCTCCTGGTACTCCGGTTTCCTCCCACAGACCAAAAACATGCATGTTAGGCTGATTGGTAACTCTAAATTGTCTCTAGGTGTGAGTGAGAGAGTGAATGGTTGTTTGTCTCGTTTGTCTCTACGTGGCCCTGTGATGGACTTGCGACCCGTCCAGGGTGTACCCCGCCCCTCGCACAGTGATTGCTGGACATGGGCACCAGCGACCCCCGTGACCCAAAATTGAATAAACGGGTAAAGAAAATGGATGGATGGATGGACTTCAACAGTTAGTGAAAATGTTGTACGCAAAATATCACACCAGAGGATGATGCTCAGTTACACTCAGACCAAAGTTTAAATCAATATTTAAAAAGTTGAGTTTAGTCATGTCTGTTTCCCATGGTCAGTTAGTTGTGGCGGCCATATTGACATGGAGTGACTCCTAAAGTTTCTCAGTTTTTCAGACATTGTTTCTAACACTACAGATAAACACACGCTCACACAAAGAATCAGAATCAGAATAAACTTTATTATCATTGTACCGGAATACAGTGAAATTATGTTTGTACAGTCGTCTGAAAGATGGGCCGAGTGCACGTTGCTGCTGCTGCTATAATAGCGCGGCCCCTTATTTTTTACCAGAATACTTTTAGATAGAAAAAGGTAAGAGCCATGAGGATGCATAAAGATTTCTTGACATTTTGTCCTATCAGGACATAATTTGAGACACCAAAAAACTCTACCAGCAGCACATTTATAAACACGTTCCGTTAGCATTTGATGTCAAGACATTGAGATTTGTCCATGAGCACTTTCAGATAGGCCACAGTTCTGATGTTGTTGTTTTTCAACTGGCAGTTCTGATAAGCCTGCACAGAAGTTCTCGTGTGTGTGTGTGTGTGTGGGGGGGGGGGGGGGGGTGCGATGGACAAAGCTTTGTCGCTAGTTACCCATGTCCCAGGAGAAATTTGATAGTCGGCTCGTATCTGAGGCCAAATGGGGGAGTCAGATTCAGATAAGTTACAATTGTTGATTTTCTTTAGGCAGACTTTTTTTTTTTTGTCAGCCTTGAGTCCTGCTGGAACTTTCCGGTCCAAAATGACCAGATTTATGGGTATTTCATGCCACTGATCCGTGTTATGAGCCTTCCTCAAGGTCAATCCCAACATGTTGCCGTCATACATCTCCTCCTGCATGTCTCTGCGTGAGCGCAGCTACAGCGTGCGCTCTCAGGACATTATTACCTGCAGTGTTCCCTCAGTGCAGACTGAACTAGGCAAAAGGGCCTTCTCCTACTTCGCTCCTGTTTCCTTGAATATCTTACAAAAAGATCTGAAGCTCTCGACCTTGACCTCTCTAAGTGGCTTTAAGAATCTGTTGGACTCCTGGCAGGGACCAATGCAGACATGTTCCTGTTTTTATTTTTCTACATTCGCCTTAGAATCTAGCTGTTTTTTGTTACTTTTGTTTTTTTTAGCCATCCTATTTGTTAAAAAAATAAAAATCTGTATAACTTTTTATAACTGTTTATTGTTGTCGCTTTTGTCCATCGTTGTCATCTTTCTTTGTTGAAATCAGGTCTCTCTTATAAATGAGTCCTCGAGACTCAATGGGATTTACCTGTCTAAATAAAGGTTGAATGAATGAAAATGCTGGCGAGTCCTAGGAGCCACAGGTGGCCTGCGATTCTCACAAATCACGTCCATCTTATGGTTTAGCTCATAAATCAGCTAATTTTGAGTACTTATAGCATGAACCAAACTTTTGCACAGACTCGGAAGCTTTGCCATGGCCAAAACTGCTGCCGATATTTTCTTCAAAAATTGATAAAACAGCCCCGCCAATGCCAAAGAGCAGAAACCCTGCTATCATAAATTTAAATATATAAATGTCTTCAGCATCCTCCTGAGACAGAACTGATAGACACATGAGCTGCCAAACTCCCCACAGATCTCTGATGTACCCCACAGTGTAATTCTCAGCCGGACATGAGGGTTCTCCAGGACCCTGTCATTTTGTTGAAAAGATTTTGTCAGTTGCGTTGAAAGTCCAGCTCACCAGATCCATAATAGTATTTTTCATTCGGGAGATGTGTACCAGGAGCTCCAAACACACAACGAGCAAAGCAGGAGGAAAAGGAGAACAGGGGAGGGAGAGCAGAAGCGTCCGTCTTGAGCGAGAGTCAGAGGAAAAGACACAAAGACAAAACTTTACGGACATTTTGCCTTCAGCGGTTGGCCATCCAAATATTGGTTTTTAACAACAGCTGATAATTACTTTTTTTTATCTTTATATTGTCAGATAGTATGGGGGCCGTGATGGTGTAGAGGCAGGGCTGCCGGCTTGGGACCCAAAAGTCCCAGGTTCAATCCCCGGTCACTGCATATCACGTGGTGTCTTTGAGCAGCACACCTCATCCCCAAAATGCCCCCCCTCCCCGCCCCCAACACCCGCCCACCACATCACCTGGTGGTGGATGGGTTAAATGCAGAGACTAATTTCACCATTTTATGGAAAAATACAATGATGACAATGTGATGACATTATTATTATTACAGTATTATTATAAGTTGTTTATTTAGATATGGTAAATCAAAATTTGTAAATCATACTTACTCAAAAGTAACGTTTTTTTAATTCAAATGAGCTGTTTTATTATAAATATAACCTGTAAAGATTAAATATTTGTCAAAAACAACCATATTTTGTCTTAAGTTAGATTATTTTATTTAACTCAGCAGTCAGTTTTGCAGTGTTGCAGTAATAAACAGTTTGTAAAGCACCATCAAGCTGTTTGTCTCGATTGACTGAAGTTTGTGATCCAATGCAGCAGAGGTGCTGATACTTTTAATGGAAAAATAGACTTTAACAACACTTAGGTTTATAAAAGGATGGATCGATTGGAGTGATTATTTTTCCTTTTTTTTTCTTTTTCAATCACTCTTTGATTTTAGTCCCCCCCCCCCCCCCATACACACACACACCACCTCCACCACCACCCAAAGTGGGGAAAAAAAACAATAAAATGAGTATTTTAATGCTTTCATGGGTCTAATTTAATCAGTTTAAGCAAATCTGACGGATTCAAATGTGAAGCTAACCTAAAGGAATGACCAGTTTTTTATTGAGTTGTTGAAACACACTCTCTGAACATTAATAATGAAGTAACTGCAGAACAAGCATACGTTTTCCTGAATAGTAGGTTTCTTCAAAGTGTTGAAGTTGCACTTACATTAACATATCAGATACTTGATTAAGTGCTGAATTAAGTGATTTAATTTTACATTTTCATAAAGCTGCCAGACTCAAAAGGTCTGGATATTAAACACTTAAGCAGTCAAAGCCAGAGCTGCTGATGCTCATATATATATATATATATATATATATATATATATATATATATATAT